ATGTATTCTATTAACAAACAAATAGGTTTTTGTTTTGTTATGGCTGTTGCGATTTTCATTTGATAAAAAGAAATATATATCACCATCATTTTAAATATTTACCCCATTCAAGTACATCAGACATATCTCAGCTAACATGTCTTTAAACTTATAAAAATCAATTCAAAAACGTCTCGTTTATAAGCAGAATGAACTGATGTCTTTAATAAAGTAATGAGGTTAAATAGCCTAGTACAATGAAGTGATGGAGTTAAATAGCCTACTACAATGCAGAAATGAGGTTAAATAGTCTAGTGCAACGAAGTAATGAGGTTAAATAGCCTAGTACAATGAAATGATGAGGTTAAATAGCCTACTACAATGCAGAATGAGGTTTAATAGCCTAGTACAATGAAGTAATGAGGTTAAATATCCTAGTGCAATGAAAGTAATGAGATTAAATAGCTTAACGTAATGCAGTACAATGCATTGCTCTTCTTCGATAACGAAGAAAGATATAACACTCCCACTTTGAGAAGCAGTTGTGACCCGATTCCAAAGTTAACGGAATGTTGCCTGGCGTGCGTATGAATGTAAACAACTTCCAGACGAATTTAGACCAAATTTGTTGGATAAATTTAGCGTCAGTCAGAGAATTGTCTTTTACGTAATACCAAAAGGTCAACATCACATCAAAGGTCAGTTATAGTCTATGGACCTTTTAAAAAATGCCTATAATTCATTGGTATAAGAAGAAGTACAGCTATGTTCTAGCTATAGGTTTTAAAGTGTTAAATTACCTTGAAATTGGTTATATGATGTTCTGTTAGTGACCTTCACATAAATGTTACCTTGATCATCAGAGATCACAACTATTCACATGATCATCAGAGATCACATAAGTATTACCGTGATCATCAGAGATCACATAAATATTACCTTGATCATCAGAGATCATAACTGTTCACTTGATCATCAGAGATCACATAAGTATTACCTTGATCATCAGATATCACATAAATGTTACCTTGATCATCAGAGATCACAACTATTCACATGATCATCAGAGATAACATAAATATCACCTTGATCATCAGAGATCACAACTATTCACATGATCATCAGAGATCACATAAGTATTACCGTGATCATCAGAGATCACATAAATATTACCTTGATCATCAGAGATCATAACTGTTCACTTGATCATCAGAGATTACATAAGTATTACCTTGATCATCAGAGATCACATAAATGTTTACCTTGATCATCAGAGATCACAACTATTCACTTGATCATCAGAGATCACATAAGTATTACCTTGATTATCAGAGATCATATAAATGTTACCTTTATCATCAGAGATCACAACTATTCATATGATCATCAGATATCACATAAGTATTACCGTGATCATCAGAGATAACATAAATATTACCTTGATCATCAGAGATCACAACTATTCACTTGATCATCAGAGATCACATAAGTACTACCGTGATATCAAAGATCATATAAATATTACCTTGATCATCAGAGATTATATATGTATTAGCTTGATCATCAGAGATCACATAAATGTTACCTTCCCATTCATTATATGAAGCTTACCATGCATTATACCATCATGAGGATTACTGTATTGAAATACTTTTACCTGCTAGCCGCCATGTTTTAACGTTTATAAGAGAGCAACTCACTAATAAATAACCAAGTTTTAATACTAATGATTTAATGTTGGTGCGTCAGAAAGTTTCAATATAATTAAAATTATTCCGTTAATAAAGATTTCGCTGTGTATCATTCCAGGAGCTTTCATAATTAATCCATTCGATAGTGGTTAATTATATATATCAAATAATAATACATGGTTATACTTGTGTTTGATAATGGTTAATTATATACGAAGTTATAAAACATGGTTATACTTGTGTATGATAGTGGTTAATTATATATACGAAGTTATAAAACATGGTTATACTTGTGTTTGATAGTGGTTAATTATATACGAAGCTATAAGGCATGGTTATACTTGTATTTGATAGTGGTTAATTACATATCAAATAATAAAACATGGTTATACTTGTGTTTGATAGTGGTTAATTATATATACGAAATTATAAAACATGGTTATACTTGTGTTTGATAGTGGTTAATTATATACGAAATTATAAGACATGGTTATACTTGTGTTTGATAGTGGTTATTTATATACAATATAAAACATGGTTATACTTGTGTTTGATAGTGGTTAATTATATACGAAGTTATAAAACATGGTTATACTTGTGTTTGATAGTGGTTAATTATATATACGAAATTATAAAACATGGTTATACTTGTGTTTGATAGTGGTTAATTATATACGAAGTTATAAAACATGGTTATACTTGTGTTTGATAGTGGTTAATTATATACGAAGCTATAAGACATGGTTATACTTGTATTTGATAGTGGTTAATTATATATCAAATAATAAAACATGGTTATACTTGTGTTTGATAGTAGTTAATTATATACGAAGTTATAAGACATGGTTGTACTTGTGTTTGATAGTGGTTAATTATATACGAAATTATAAGACATGGATCAAATTCAAGATTATGTGATACATTAGCTGAGGATATGCTAGGTGGCGGTATATGGCCTTTCCTACTTCGTCTGGAGTCTGTTGTTGCATTGAGACTGCTGTACCCAAGTTGAAATACAATTTGCTCCTTCAAGATCGCCTTGCAGCGCCACCTATGGCCTAGTTTTCAAATTGTGTTCAACACGTGTTTTTACATACCTATACCAACAAGGAAACCTTAAGTTATATGGTTCTTCCACTACGTATACATTTTTATAAACAATCAAACTTATTTTACGCCAGCTTGGGAACTTCTAAATAATGTTATGTAAAAATGTCATGTATCGAAACATTATATAGTATAAACACAATACAGAACAAAATATGAGAGAGGAATTGAACTTTATCAACAAAAAAATGTTTGATACTTTGGAAAAGAAACAACAAAAAAAAAAGAATCGACAAAATCATTACAAAAAAAAAGATTTTGATATATTCCTAAAAACGAAAAAAACAACAACTTAAGTATAGCACATATAATCATGTTCCTAAGTATAGCACATATAATCATGTTCCCAAATACAGCACCTATAATCATGTTCCCAAGTAGAGTACGTATAATCATGTTCCCAAGTACTGGACCTAGAATCATGTTCCCAAGTAGAGTACGTATAATCATGTTCCCAAGTACTGCACCTAGAATCACGTTCCCAAGTAAAGCACGTATAATCACGTTCCCAAGTAGAGTACGTATAATCATGTTCCCAAGTAAAGCACATATAATCATGTTCCCAATTAGAGCACGTACAATCATGTTCCCAAGTAGTGCACCTATAATCATGTTCTCAAGTACAGCACCTATAATCATGTTCTCAGGTATAGCACGTATAATCATGTTCCCAAAAGAAAAATATATATGACGTAATTGTAAAAATAACTATATATGACTGTAAACGTCAGAAATGCAGAAAGCCAAGGTTTACAAGAATTGTCGTTGCACACTATATGTTTGAATATTATATACCAACGACACGCATATAAACAATCTCGTAAAGCGCCCATAAGCCCTTCACCCGGAAATAGGGAAGTATAATATTAATCATTATAAACATCACGTGACGTTACGATGCGATAGTTCATTACGTAATAAACAGATATTGTGACGTTATCAAAAATTAGTGATAGCGAGAGTGTTATCGTGTTACCTCATGGTTTCTCCATAAAACAAATTTATTATACGAATAAAAAGTGACTTTAGATTTAAGTACAAAATGTTAAAGGCTTCTTAATAACTTCTCTAAACAAGTTATGATTAATTTAGACAGTTTGTTCTAAGTGTAATTAATACGATGTGATAGTTGTTACTGAATGAAGTAAACACGTATCTTTGAAGTGAGGTTTAAGATCCTAAAATTGCGAATAAAACTTTTTGATAAAATTCTGCTTTTTCAGTCTTACCTTCGTTTTATTTTTATTTATAAGTGAGCGCGAGAGTTAGTTTTACGCGAAATTTTCACATCACATAGAAGTTTTATAAATCTAACTTTTACGTTTCTACCTTTGTTTTTAAAGTTTTCAGAAGTCTCACTCAAAATGAGAAATCCAAATACATTTAAATATTGATACTGATCCTAATTTTTGTTTTGTTTTTATGAATATTTGGTTAAAGGTTAGAAACAACAGGAAAAAATCGGAATGCCTTATTCTTTACTTCATAACAACTATAAACAGGAACTGATTTTAATCTGTACAAGAATTATCTATATAGAATGTTGATTTCTTGTTAGAATACTTAACTTTAACAACAAGTTTAGGATTAATTAATTGTTCTACCAGCTGTTTATCACATAGTAAAATGATTCTGAATGTTTAAAAGTAACAAATTCCTTTCAACGTTGATGTGTTGTTCCTTTATTTCATAATGTAGCTGTACTGTTGAGATTCTGACATCACACGAAACGGATTATCACGGCTTTTTCGTTATTTATCAAAACTGAACTAACCTATATGACTGTGAATTGTTTTAAGTTAACGTTTAATATCCTGATTTTACAGAATCGTTATTATAGTGAAAGCGTTCGGAATGACCCTAATAACGAAACTTCACTGTGCTTATTCTTAAAACTTTTTCATTTCCATGCGTTATTCGAGAGAATGTTTCAGTCTTAGACCACTTTATATGCAGCCCCATACGTTAGTAAGTACATCAGTCTGTAAGGTCAGGTCAATATTAACATAACAGAAACAGTTTTCACGCCTAGTAACAAACAGTGGAATTGTAACATTAAAGAGTTTTGTAGACGGGATGCTAACATCAGATTTACAATTCTATAGCAATAAAATACTTCTTTCAATAAAATCCACATTTATATCATAAGCTTGCCTTTACCAACAGCACACTAAATTCCGAATCAATATTTAATAAGTAAACAAACGTATATCAACGCCTTACCTTCTGCCACCACAATATAAAACCATACGGCTGAGAGTGAATAGACAACCACGAGTAACGGATGCATGATGCACGTGCTCGGAATCTCGACGTTTCCCTAAAGCAACCTGCTTCTAGCTCTTCAACTGTTGCCGAGCGATCAATTTAACCCGTTGTAGTAGGCATCATAAACATAGTAAATTAGCACTCGCAGGTGGCACGTGATCCATTGGAGGCGTGGTTTACTAAGATACGCTTATTCATTCATTTTCAGAAATATTGGACCTTCATTCAATCCAGCTCACCGTGGAACAATCAAAAACATACAAATCTTATTATCTAGCTTTGTTACTATAGTTACAGTTTCATGATTACATCCTATCAAATGTCATAGCTAAAAATAGTAAAAACAAAAGCTTGTTATCGTGTACCGTCTAAAGTGTACTAATTTTATACTTGTTTATGTGTGGTTGAATGTTGCCATTTTTGAACCACTGCAGCTGTGCATCATCAACAAGCACACGGCACAGCAAGGTTAAACATCTTTTACATACATTAATGTGACTCTCGAACAATATCTAACTAAAATAGCACCCGTTTCTAACATCATATGAACACATATCAGGGTATAAACAGTTTTTATAATCGTCTGTAATACTGTTACGTCTCTGGTCGTTAGTTAATTTTCCGTATAATTTCTTTCCGAAGAAACTTTAGCGATACAAGTCCTTTCTTAAATAAAACTAGTTTATTCTTTCTAAATACAACTTTGCAATACACTTAATTTCCACAGTCATGGTATAACAAACGCTATAATTCACAACCAATGTCTCACATGCTCGACTCAACAATACGTCTCTCTCAGTCCGCAGTTCAATTACCCATTTTTGCCCGGTAGTTCTTGGCGGCTTATATACAAGACTACCGCATATCTAGTAGTCTCTCGAGGTTTCATGAACGTTCTAGAAGCGCATGACGTGTTACTAGGGTCACGTGACCTCCGCTGTCGTAACAATATGAATTCACAGAGCAGTAGAATTTGGATAATATACTTCCTTATAAAAGTAAGAACTTGAACTTTATATAATATTAAAATTTGATTTACTAACTACGTTTGGATGCCACGTTTATTTAATAATGATAAAGCAGTTGAATTAAGTTTTCAATGTAACGATCTACAAAAAGTCGTAGCATGCGCACTTTGATCTACCTGTAGAGAGAGGGTTAAGACAGAGAACATTATATAGGCTACAATTTTTTTGTTGTTAACTTATTGTAGACTTGATATGTATGCTATAAGTTCTTGTTGTTAACTTATTGTGAACTTTTTATGTAGATTATAAGTTTTTGTTGTTAATGTTACGTCTCTGTTAAATTCCAGTAAAAATTCTTTCCGAAGAACTTCAGTGATACAAGTCCTTTCTTAAATAAAACTAGTTTATTCTTTCTCAATACAACTCCCCATCTCTCTGTCTGCTATCCAATTAATTATCTCGCTTTATTTGCCGCGCTTATATACAAGAATAGAGGGCGTCTAGAATGCACTCGCCTCTTCACGAACCTTCTAGACACTTATCAAGTGGTACCAGGGTCACGTGACCTCCGCTGTCGTAACACTGCCCTTTCCTTAGTATTGCTCGTCCCGAACAATAGCCACTTACATTAAACAAGTAGATAATTAACAATAACTTGATTAAATGTACAAAATTTACAAACACAAAATTAAAATTCAACAAAGTCTCATAATTTTACAGGACGTATCTTCTTTCGAACTGGTCTCCATCTCGTTGGCTTCTGCTTTACGTGTGGTTCATCTGCTCCATCAGGAAATGTCCTATTATCGGTAACAGTTACATCAGTGGTAGTAACTTCATTAAGGGCTTCACTGTTTCCCTTCTCAAAACCGTGTAGAGTTTCTTCTTCGACAGTGGCTTTTACAGGTGACACGTCTTCAGCACAAAAATGTACCTGTTTCCAGCACGAGCTTGGGGCAAAAGGACCAGAAATGTTAACGGCTATTCTTTCCAACTTGACATAAGTTCATTGGAACACGTCCATCATGCTTGGGTCCCACCTTTTAGCCCAACATGTACTGCATGTCCTGCACCATTCTTCCACATCTTGCCTTATACCTATCCAATAAAATCTCTGTCGTAGGTGTCTTCTTAACTCCGAGATGTCTTCCTGTTAAACTATCATGGGATTGACGCATCACAACTTCCAGTAACTTTCTCGGTATAACTGTTTGCAAGGTCGTCACTTTCCCATCTGCAGTTTCCCATCTCCAGAGAAGAATACCATCTTCAAGCTTCAACTGGCCCCGTTGTTCCCAATAGTTCTTTGTCACAGGGCTTAAGCTAGACACATTCCCTCAAGCAGGGCACAAAACACTTGCTTTTAGAAAATCAATTATTGTCTTCTAATCCTGGTCTTTCTCCTGCTCTGCTTTAACATCTATACCTGATTCCACTTCAACATCATCAACTCCTTCAGTCACTTTGACTTCAGCTTGATGACATCTTGTTAGTTCAATCTCTCTTTTAATACTTACCGGAATTTGGCCTTTGTTGTTCCCATTCGTCATTTTATCGAAGTTAACTACACACTTCTTCGGTAGTAAGTAGTCCAACTCTAATATGCATTGGTCTTCAGTGTCAGCCAAGTATACTTTGTGTCTGTCCTTCATATCCATGAGCTCAATAACTACCCACACGGGTCCCCACAACCTTGTATAATGTCCTGTTACGCCACAGAGCTTCTGTATGGCTTCTGGTACTCATTTGTGATCCTGCACTTTTGACCATTCAGCTTTCCTGTCACGTAGACACT